CCGGGTGATGCAGCAACTAGAGGCCAGCAAAGTGACCAAGCAAAGGACGACCAGCAGCGACCCCCTACCAGTGGAGCAAGTGATCCTTGGCGGCTGTTTGACTCGGACAGCAGTGACGAAGCAACAGGAGAGATTAACAACCTGCTGGAGGAAGGTGCGATTCTGATTGGGCGAGAGGAGGAGCAGCAAGATGAGAGCCAAGGACTCACTGAAGCAGAAGCAAAGTCACCTGCACCAGCCATACAAGAAGAAGAGATGGGCAGAGGCATGCGGATCAAACGACCCAACCCAAGATACGCGATGGTCCTCATGACTTGTCGGCGCGACATACACACTCACCTGCTACTTACTACAATGGCAACGGCACTGATTTCTAAAGAGCAGCGAGCAACCTACGACTTACCACCCGAACCAGTGACAATTGAGGAAGCTCTCACCGGACCTTACAAGGAAAAGTGGCGGGCTGCAATTCAAGCGGAGCTTGACACGCTTGCCGAACGAGGAACGTGGGAGCTAGTCAAGATGCCGGAAGGAAGGCGGCCTGTTGGAGTCAAGTGGGTGTTCAAAATTAAGACGGGGGATATGGGGCAACTTGAGCGCTTCAAGGCCCGATTGGTAGCAAAGGGCTACACTCAAGTGGAGGGTGTTGACTTCGGGAAAACCTACGCACCGGTCAGCAACCTCACTACGGCAAGAACATTCCTCAAGGTGGTCTCGGCACGAGACTACCACTTGGTGCAACTTGACATCACGAATGCCTTCCTTTATGCCATTTTGAAGGAAGACATCTACATGAACCAGCCTCCCGGGTGTGAAGACGGAACGGACAGAAAGTGCAAGTTGCTCAAGACTCTCTACGGGTTAAAGCAAAGCCCAAGGGAGTGGTACAAGACCATGAGCGAGCAACTACTCAAGATTGGCTTTGTGAAAAGCGAGTGTGACCGCGCATTCTACATGAAGGGGAAAGGGCAAGACAAGGTGTTTCTCCTACTCTATGTGGATGATATTTTGGTGGCGGGGGCAGTCAAGGAGAGAGTGGAGGAGGTGTGCACACACCTGGCAGCCGTCTTCAAGGTCAAGCAAATCCCGAGGGCCACGCTCTTCCTCGGGATGAACCTGGAGCGAAATCGGCAAGAGAAGACGCTCATGCTACATCAAAAGAAGTACCTTCAGCGGATGGGAGCTAGGTATGGCCTGCAAGGGAAAGGACGGGCCGTGACTACACCTCTCAGCGGCATAGCGGAGAAAGAAGTGGACCCTAATGAGGAAGAGACGAGGTGGGGCAGCAGCGACAAGGCACTTACCGCCTATCAGTCAAGGGTGGGCTCCGTGATGTACCCCGTGTCATGCACACGACCGGATGTCGCCTATGCTGCGAGCTTCCTTGGACAGCAAGTGCTACAACTTGAAGGGCGGAAATGGAGAGAGATGGAGAGGACAATGACCTACCTGCTACAAACGGACGATGAAGGCTTGTTGTTCGAGGGAGGAGAGGAAGACATGAAGCTAGTGGGGTACGCCGATGCCTCACATGCCTCGGACAAGAAAACACGCAAAGGTGCCTATGGCTACGTTTACCTTCTTGGAGGAACGGCAATCGCTTGGACAGCCAAGAAACTTCAAGACACCGCTCTCTCAAGCGCCGAATCTGAATATATGGCGCTATTCTACGCGTGCCAAGAGGGCGTGTGGCTGCGACGACTCCTACAAGAGTTCGACATCCCCATACAAGGCCCAACTACCATCCGAACGGACAGCCAGTCAGCTATCGACCTCGCGAACAATGACAATTGGCATGGGCGCACTCGGCACATGGATGTGAGGTATCATTGGGTGCGCGAACAGCTCGAGAGGAATACGTTTGAGTTCGAGCACGTACCATCGGAGGAACAAGCAGCCGACTTTCTCACCAAGGTTCTGCCCAGAGCGAACTTTGAGCATTGCAAGTCACTCGTGGGTATCCGTACCTTGCGAGACCTGCAGGGGAGCAATGGGCAGCAGTACAAGCATATGGTAGCGATGCTGAGGGCTGCTGGTTACACGGTAACCTAAGTGATGCTGAGGAGTGGCACCCCCAAACCACAGGGGAGGTTGTTGAGGTGGTTTGCGGCTGCCACGCGGAGCGCCGAACGGCGGCTGCTATGTGGAGCGCCGAACGGCGCCGTGGCTAAGACCTAATCGCGCTGATCTACTACCTACGAACGGTGCAGAACAAAGGAGCTATGGAAGCAAGGAGTTCGAAAAGAATCTGGAGAAGAAACAAGGAAAAAACGAGTAGAAGACCTAGTTGCGATGTGAGGGAATGTCGAGAACATTCGTGGCTGGATTTGGGCCAACCACAACGCACCGTAATCGGTTCGCTGGTTTCGGTGTCAGTTTCGGTTACCACGCGGTTTCGCGTGCGACGCGATATGAGACGCGGCTGACGCGTTACACGAGTCGCACATTGCTGAAATGGTTGGATATATATTGCTTGTTCTGTTTTGCATTGTCATAACCAATTCAGTGAAAATCCTACTGCAAATTCCAGAGACTAAGTCCTGAAATCTGTCAACTTACATAGTGACCAGAGACTATCGCCAAGTAACATCCTCCTCCTCCTCCTCCTCCTCCTCCTCCTCCTCCTCCTCCTCCTCCTCCTCCTCCTCCTCCTCCTCCTTACCATCATCTTCAGCAGGACCACCACCACACAAGGAGCATATGGTGTTCGACTGATCATCAGACCCAGTCCATGCCTTTTTTTGTTTTCTCTCCCCTTCATTCCCCTGTGAATACTGTTCTACGTCTGCTTGGCATTGTACTCATTGTGCGCTCATTCGGCATCCCGTTCACGTGGCAATGCGCTGCATACCAGTGGATTGTTGAACACTCGCCTCAGTGGCACAATCCCCGGCACTATTGGTCGGCTCGCCAGTCTCGAGTACTTGTATGTGGTGCTGGGTTGTCACACACACTTGTATGCACACATGGACAGATGCACACATGCACGCACTCACGTGTGCACACACGCATGCATGGACGCACCCACCCACACATGCACGCACACACATACACTACACACACATACACACACACCCACCCACACACGCAAACCGGCACACACGCCCACCCATACTCTTTCCTACTTGATTGCCTTTTCTCTCCACAATCTATCAATGCTTGAAATCTAAAATCACACACACACACACACACACACACACACACACACACACACACACACACACACACACACACACACACGCACAAACTTATCTCCACAACTTGTGTCATTATCCTCACCAGGGTGCCATCACGACTCGCCCTCACCCCTCCTACTCCTCACATCTGCCTGTCCTGTTCCTTCTGTCACTCACCCCGCAACCGCCCTGTCCCAGGACCATCGCCAATACCAACTTGGCTGGCTCGCTGCCAGCCTCCCTTGGTGCTCTCCCCAACTTCACTCAAATGTTGGACCCCTGCACTGCATCACACCCTGCACTGCATCACACCCTGCACTCCATCACACCCTGCACTGCATCATATTCCACATGCTTTGAGTATGTATGGTGTGTGTGAATGTGTGTGTGTGTGGGTGGGTGGGTATGTGTGTGTGTATGTGTGTGGGTGTGTATGTGTGTGTGTATGTGTGTGCGTGTATGTGCGTGTGTGTATGTGCGTGTGTGTGTGTGTGCGCAAGCGCGCGCATAAACGACCTTTCATTCTGCGTGTGTGTGGTCACGTAGTCATTGGTGCCCCACTTTCCTGCTTGCACAAATTCTAGATCTGGTCCCCCCTTTATCATAATGAGCTGACCAGAGCTACAGGTGCACTGGCACGCCACCAGATGTGGAGTGCCTCAAACATGATTCTCACGGAAGCATGAGACATACACATATCGCTGCACAACCACAATCACGGGGAAAGAAAAAAAGAACGAAAGAAAAGAGTATCAAAAGAATACGTTTCGCATAATGAATCAACAAACATGTAAGATGCACATTCTTTTCGCCACTCGCCTGCCCTTTCTCCTTGCCGCAACATTCCAACAAACCCCCCAACCCCCACCCACCCCTCCACTCCCCTACTGACCATATTTCCCGTTCCAGATTCATCCCTGCAGGGGTGACATGCGGCAGGGCTGGCAGCAGCTGTGAGATACAGCAGAACTCCTCCTCCTTCTTCTGCCGGATTCTCTGTTTTGACTTCTGTGCCTCGTGCACCCCACTCAACGGTAGAAATATGTTTTTGCCATATTTATGCTCGCATGCATGACTCGTAGTTCGGATAGGAAAACACCTCATTACCCTTCATGCACGTGATACCTTACTGCCATGATGCCATCTGACGGTCATCGTGCCATCTGACGGTCATCGTGCCATCTGACAGTCATCGTGCCATCTGACGGTCATCGTGCCATTTGACAGCCATCAGAAATCCGATAATCACCATGCGAACTTAGGGTTGCATTGGCATCAGAGCTTGTTATCACAATAGCTTCTCTCCCCATCCACAATCCCTACACGCCCCAATTCCCTCCCCTCCTCTTCCCCAGCAGGCCAACGCCGCCACCCTCCTCCCCCTCCTCCCCTCTCACCTCCTCTCGCTCCCAGTCTCGCTCTCATGAGCCCCCCATCTCCTTCTCTATCCTCTCTTCTTACCATCTCCTCTCCGCTCTCCCCTCCTCCTGCTCCTCCACCCTCCACCGGTTTGCCAACCTCTGCAATCGTGGGGATATCAATAGGAGCGATTTGTCTTCTTGTGGCTGCTGTTGCTGCTGCTGTCGTGGCTGCTGGGTGTGTAAAGGAAGGAGCCCAGGGATCGGAACTACAGCCGCTGGCTGCCTCAGGTATGAGCAAGTTCAGTATTGTGCCATGAATCAGAGGCTTGTGGCATGGCTGTCACTAAGGGGTATGTGGTACTTATGGTGGCTTTGCCTTGTGAGGTCGTGGCATGGTGGGTGGCCATTCCTTCTTCTTCTGCTTCCTTGTACTATCCGTGACGCTTGTCTGTCTTTCTCGCATATGTCACTATCTGCTTTCATATCGACAATACACTGCTGCCACCCTTCCCCAGCTGCTGCTGCCACTCCCACTGCTGCTACCACCACAGCCCCCTCTGCTGATTGCGGTGCCAACATAGATCCTCATTCAATGCCTGTCATTGCAGCTCTCATCCGTCCCACACACTGCCGCCCTTGCAGCCACTGCAACAGCCAGCCACCATCATCGTTTTCACTGCTTCCAGCTTCACCATCATCTCACCATCGACCTCCTCACTCGCTTTCCCTCCTCTCCTCACCCCCCTATATCCCTTCTCCTCTCTCCCCCTCTCCCCCTCTCCCCCTCTCCTTCCTCCACGTCAGCATCCCGTGTGTTCAGTCGCTCCCGCTGTCCCAAGTTCCCCATGTCGCTCGTGGCACAAGCAACAGATGGGTGGAGTGAGGATAGTTGGGTGGAGAAGCAGGGGTGGAGCAGCAGCAGCAGCGGCACCAGCAGCAGCAAAGGCAGCATTGGCAGCAGAAGCAGCATTGGTAGAAGCAGCGGTGGAGGGCAGAGGTACAAGGCAGTGAGTCCTCTCGATGCGTGCCAGGTGTGGTTTGTTGTGAGGCGCGGCAACGAGGAGATGTCGAAGGACTTTCAGAAAGAGGTGAGAGAGCTCTGGATAGTGACACTGCAGGCACCATGTTGTGCCCCTTGTAACGTGCCCTTGTATCCATGTTGCGGATAGTTGTGGAAATTTCTCCACTGCATGATTCTCCACTGCATGTTTCTCCACTGCATGATTCTCCACTGCATGATTCTCCACTGCTGCTGCTGTTACTGCCGCCGCCGGTGGCACCGCTGCCGCCGCTGCTGCCAACACTGCCGCTGCAGCTGTTTTGGCTCCAATGCCTATATCATATCGTGTTGTACCCCTTTCTTTTCATTTTTTCCCTTGTATCCCCCTTCTCCTTGTGGGTGCTTCCTCTCCTGCCCAGGTGGCCTCGCTTTGGTCCATTCGCCATACCAACCTGCAGCGGCTGCTGGGGTATTGCTGGGAGAAGCGTGACACTGCCGCTGACCTTGCCTCATCTGCTACTGCCGCTGCTGCTGCTAGTGCTCGTGTTGGTGCTGATAGTGCTAAGATTGCTAGTTCTGATTCTGCTGCTCCTGGCAGTCATGCGGTGGGGCAAGCAGAGGAGCAGGTGCTAGTGTTTGAGTGGGTGCCAGGAGGCAATCTGCACAGCCGCCTCGTTGCTGCAGGTACATACACTCCTGAACCCCCTTCCCCCCACCTTACTCTCTCCATGCCTATTCCTCCCTCCATGCCTCTGTGTCTTTGCTTTCTAAATTGCACTCCAGCCTCCACCAGTGCTTGTCTGATTCACTATACCAGACCACTCATTCCCCACCACCCTCTTGGCTTGATGCTTCCCCACGGATCCTTTCATGTCCGGCATATCAAACGATTATTGTGAGTTTTTTTGCAATTTCCTGCAAAGAGTTCGCACAGCAACACTTATGTTTGGTCACCGTAGACACTCGTGTTCCATGCCATGACACACTGCTTCGCTCTGTCTGTCCCTCACCATGTTCCCACTCTCCCTCTACTCCCCCCCTTCCCCCCTCCTTTTCCGGAGCACCCCCTTTCTCCTCCCGCCATGCAGAGGGCGGTGCACCTCTGTCGGTGTGGCAGTGCCTGGATGTGACCGCGGGTGTGCTGCGCGGGCTGAAGCACATCCAGAGCCATGGGGTCGTGCATGGCCGCATACACCCACGCAACATCCTGCTTGATACCGCGCTGCAGGTGAAGTCTTGTCTGCCATGCAGGTGACGTGCTGAGTGAGACACAGGTGAAGTGAGACACAGGTGAAGTGAGACATAGGTGAAGTGAGACACAGGTGAAGTGAGACACAGGTGAAGTGAGACACAGGTGAAGTGAGACACAGGTGAAGTGAGACACAGGTGAAGTGAGACACAGGTGAAGTGAGACACAGGTGAAGTGAGACACAGGTGAAGTGAGACACAGGTGAAGTGAGACACAGGTGAAGTGAGACACAGGTGAAGTGAGACACAGGTGAAGTGAGACACAGGTGAAGTGAGACACAGGTGAAGTAAGATGCAGGAGAATCGACACACATGTGTCCATCCACGCACACTTAGCATCTTTCCGTTTTCACAGCTTCATCTCTCCATCGAGCCCCTGCAATCCATTCACGCCGCTTCTTGCCCCTCGCCTCCCCACTACCCCACTCCCATGCCTTCCCCTCAGCCTGTCTTGGCTGGTTGCATGGCCGTGAAAATGGGCGACCCACTACCATCCATCCCCACAGCACCACCACCACCAGCAGCAGCCACATCAACATCAGCAGCATTGCCAGCGCCAGCAGCAGGAGCATGGGTGGCATCAGCAGGGAGGGTGACACGGCCACCTGCCAACCATGCATACATGGATCCAATCCTGCATGCCTCTGGACGCACCACGCCCTCCACCGATGTCTTCAGGTCCGTGCTGCTCAACCTGACTCCTCCTACAGTCCTCAACTGTCTCCCTCTTCCTGTCTCCTCTCCCCATCCTCTCTTCCCACTTCCTTCCCTCCTGTGCTTTACCCTGTGCGAGGAACAAGATGCTGCTGATCCATATATTCTGCTGCTGATCGCATGTGTTTTTGCCGCGGCTAACCATCAACTCAACTGATTGACAAGCCAAACGCCTCTCCCGACTCTTCTCTTGCCCGCGTTTTTATTCCTGAATCTCCCGTATCACCCCATCCCTACCTGCCAGCATTGGTGTGGTGATGCTGCAGCTCATCACTGGACGGCCTGTCTTGATATCCACAGCTGCAGGCAATGATTGGCAAGGCAACAGCTCTGGCCCCAGAGGAGATGGCAGTAGCAGCAACGGCGTTAGCATAAACGGCTACAGCAGCAGCAGCAGCAGCAGCAGCAGCAGCAGCAGCAGCAGTATGATCTGCAGCTTTAGTGGCAGCAGCTCAGTGCACATTCGGGACTGGGTGAGTGCAGTGCGGAATTCCAGGTCTGTTATTGTTGTTGTGTTTGCAGTGCAGAGCTGCTGCAGGAAGTTGACCTCGTGCATGCATGCACACTGCGCATGGACACTGCACAGTTTCTCTCTTCCTCACTCACTTTATGCCACTGCACCATGCACCCGCTGCACCCACTGCAGCTGTATGTGCACCATCCATGCTTTGCTGACTGCTTTTGCCAGAGCGTGCCCCTAACAAGTGAACCTAACACACGCCCGCCACGCCACACCACACAATGACACCAGTGTGTTCGCCTCTATGGATCCACAACACTCATGCATCCATCTCCTCCCTTTCATTCCTTGTATTCTCGGCCAAACACGTCGAAAATGTCCACCCCTGTGCAGGCACAGCACCTAATATCTCGCAATATCACATCCAACCTGCGCGCCGCCCACCTGCCCCAAGCACCCGACGCCATCGTGCTGCCCATGGTCCGCCTCGCCCTCTCCTGCTCCGCTTCCGACTCCCTCTCCCGCCCCACTGTCACCGACCTGCTCCGCTCCATCAAGGCTCTCAAGCGCTCCCTCTCCGCCCACCCGCGCCCAGCTCTGCCGATCATTCCAGGGAAAAGCAGGAACGGTGATATGCCCAATGCTACAGACAGTGGGGGGGATGGAGCAGATACGTTATTAGACTATTTAGTCTGATCACTTGGAGGGTTCATACTGTTCTAGCCAGCAAGCCTGATTTACTGATAAGACTTACCCTTTTGCCAAAATTGATTGATTCAGAATATATGTATATTTTTCTCGTTTACTTGTACAGTAAGGCCCCGCATACAGGACCTCCGGAGAAAGAGACGCATCGGATGGGTCTTTTACCTCCGAGATTGTATTTTATTATTGTAAAATATGTAAGGAGCCCTATTTGGTATATATGTTATAAGGTTTTTTTTTGCTGTATATCGTATTGTTTCAGTGCATCTGTGTATTGTACTGTTTAAGGGACCACCTTATTTAAAAGGAACGAAATTTTGAAATCTCATGTGGTCTTAGTATCACACTCCAGCTTGCTATGGCTAAAAAATGACTCTCCAATATAGTGAAGGATAACGAACATTATTGTTGATTTTTCAATGCCAAATAAAGCAGCCGTAGCAGCATATCTGTTTCAAACCAGTTAGCGGAACTAGTCTGAAAGTGGGTAAGCTAACTGTAAGGATTTACAAATCCTTACTGAGACACTCGTTAGCGAGGCCATCCCGAGGGTCACGCGACGAACCTGTTTGGCCTATTTCGTCGCACCGAACCACCCCCGAGTCGGCCCCCGCTCCAATCGCGACATCACCGAGCCATCTTCGCCCGACCTCCCCGCCTAGCTAGCTTTTCCCCTATTTAGACCTCGTCACTTTCATTGTATCGACACTCAGTAATCAATCATTCTCGTTATTCGTTATTCTGTGCACTCTTCATTACAACTCATAACACTAACTTTCCCTGGATCTCTACAGTTGCTTCAATTGTTTCAACTTTTAGATGTGCATTTCATTGCGTGACCAAACGTGATACACCTGGTCCGCGGTATTTTAACCGCCGGTATCGTAACCAAGTTTGTCGGCACGCTGGGCGTTTCTTGTTGGGTGGCCAGAAATCGCTGTTCACACTTGACCGAACCAAGTTGTAGAGTTGCCAAGCCTTTTTTTGATATTTCAGCTGGCGCCGTCCACGTGGCAGGCGAATTTCCCCATCCGAATTTTCCAAAAAGAATCGTCATCGTCGATGGTTTTACTTCCCCGACTCTCGAACATTCCAGATGGCGAAAAGAGCCGAATTGCTCCTTTTGAGTAGTGCTGTCAAAACTTTCCATGCTGTTCAGATATTTGGTGGTGAAAATAATGACCGAAATTTTGCACCCTTATCTTCACCACGGCCAGATAATCCAAAATCCTGCTACCCATTTTCGCGAGGTTAAAATACCGCGGACCAGATGTAGTGAGACCGGCAACGTGTGGTAAACCGAGATAGCGTTGTGGTCATCTGGACAGATCTGTGACTGTCCTTGATCATCAGGGGACAAAACGCGATAAGTGGGGCCTTACTGGTGACATCTCATATAAATTCCCAATCTTGGGTGACTGGCGAGGACTGTATTTCCTCGCTACCCTGTTTCGCTTTCGCCCCGCAATTTTCCGACGATAGTTTTCCCACTCGCCAAAACTTTCTTTAGTTCAGGATTTTTGGAGAACCATCATGACTCTGGGCTTTAAAGTGGATTTTTTACAAGAATCTTTGCAGTGGAGGGTTTGTGGAAATACGCCCTGGATGACTCCGCTTGGTGCATCTGGCCGGATCACTCAAAAACCCACACAGCCTTGGGCTCGGCGGGTGGGTGGGAGCTTACTACCTTCCCTTTCTTTCTTGTTTTCCTCCTAAATTTCCTCCCTCCCACCCCCCGCGCATCCGTTAGACCCGCTGGTGAGGAGCAACCCAGATGAGCGAGCAACGTTCATGTGGAAGCCGCGCAAATGTGTGGATGGCAGGAAAACGGCGGGGGACGCGCGCGAATGGCGGGAGTTCACCATGAATTTGCGGCGTGGGGGGTTTCATGCCTTGCGGCGGGGGACGCGTGCACTGGTGTTCGTGGTCGCGGCAATGACGCTTCTTGCGCACGTCTGTAGTGCAGTCAGCGCAGTTCAGCTACAAGCGTCCCAAGGTGGGGGTTGTGAAGTCGGGCTCAGCACCAGCGCAGAGTGCAGTACGGCTTCAGCCAGCACGCTGCGGCATTGCCTCACCCAACCGCATCCCATCGCGACCGTTGCCATTCCGTGATCCCTTGGCTGTGTGTTGCGCGTGTTACCCGTGCTATCTGCGCTGTCTGTCACGCTGTACTGCTGCATCATTTTCCCCGTTGCGCGCGTTTCCCGCGTTGCGTGGCAGCGGCGGTGCTGCAGGAGTGCGCGGCGGCGTGGAACATGACTGGTAGTAGCGGGTGGACGGCAGACGGGGACTGCCAGCTGGCTGGTGATACTAGTAACGTCAAGTGCAATGCAGAGGGAATGGTCACGAGCCTGTGAGACACATGTACCCGCGTGCGCTGCGTGCTATGCACTGTGTTGTGTGTTGTGTGTTGTGTGTGCTGTGTGTGCTGTGTGTGCTGTGTGTGCTGTGTGTGTTGCCTGCTGTGCTGTGTGTAAGGTGATGTAATTTTCTGCTTTGTCTTGACAGCCTTCTCTTCCAACCTCTTCCCACCATGGCCGCAGGTACTTTAGAGGCTTAAATCTGAACGGCACCATCCCCAACAGCATCGCAAACCTCACCACGCTCACTCGCTTGTGCGTGTCATAATGGCACCCCTCTCCCTGTCCTTTGAGACCTTGCAAAACTCACCGCACTAAATTTCATCTGCTTTTGCATCCCTCTCCGCGTGCTTCTTGCATTCCTCTTCTTGATTATTGCTTTCCTCTCCGCATCCACACCATTAGTTGACCCGATGCATATATCTGTCTGTCCCACATGGCTGCACGCACACACGCATGCACGCTCACACAAATGCTGCTGACGTTATGTTAAGCGACCCTTGAGACTTGAATAAGTCAAGGCCGTGAGTAAGTACCGCATGGCCTCTAGTAAGTGAATTCTTTTGTGCTCGACCTTTCTTTTCTCTTCCTTCGCCCCGTCTTGTTATTTGGCATCGCATGGTGCTGGATTTGGGTTGCATGCTGCCGCGCCATGCCGTGCTGTGCCATGCTGTGCCGGGGCTTCTGTGCTGTATTCTGCCACGGCGTAATAATGGCGTGCGTGCATGCGTGGCGAGAATGACCATGGTGGTCTCATCACAATGCAGAAAGCTGGACGGTTCAAATCTCCACGGGCCCGTGCCCACCGCCCTTTCTCGCCTCACTCGACTTGCCGAACTGTAAGGCCGCCTCGTGTGTATGTGCATGCATTCACGTATGTATGTGTGTATGTGTGTATGTATGTATGCATTCATGCATGGACGCGCGCATGTGATTATGCAATTGGTCCCGAGGGCCAAAAGTAGGACTGGCTCTCTTGACTTCTGGGGCGCCTCAAAATGGCGAGGTGTGTGTATTGCATGTTTGTGCACTCAGACCGGTTCGACTCGAACCAAAGGGTTGAAGAAAGGGGCCTGGTTTGACCTGACATACTGCTCAGGTCTGGTAGAGGGATGTGAGGTGCCTGAAAACTCGTATGCTGCATGCAGTTGCTCGCATGCACACCCGCATTCCGTCCCTTCCTTTCGCAAGTTCACTTCACACACCCACATCTTTTCACCGCTTGAGACACATCTAAACTAAACGTTTTTTCTTCACCCCCAATCTGTCCGTGCCCCCCCCTCTCCCTCACACTACATCTCCTTTCTCGTCGTCTCCCGTTCTCTTCCTTTCTCGCTCGTCCTTCTCTCTCCCCCCTAACCCCTGACTTCTTCCCCTCTTTGTCACAACTCTCTCAATGGCAGCACCCTTCTTATCAACAACTTGATCGGACCCATTTCCTTTCTGCAACATTTAAGCCTTCTCACCTACCTGTGATCCCTCCTCCTCCCCCTCCCCCGTTCCCCCGCTCTCGCCCTCGCCCTTCCACTGCCCTCGCCTTCGCCCTCACTCTGCTTCCTTCCTCTCGCCTTTGCTCATACCTGCTCCTTCCGCCCCTGTACGCTCTCCCTTTGGGTGTGTGCTGTGCTGCTCGTTCCCCTTCATTCGCTGCTCGTTCTCTAGCGAGAGAGATGTATGCTGCTCCCAATGAGCAATGCATCGGAGAGAGCGATAGAGTGGAGGGAATCCATCAGAGGAAGTGCAGTGCACTGCAGTGCAGTGCAGTGCAGTGCAGTGCAGGCAGAGAGGAAGATGGTGGGAAGTCAAGGCTTGTAACTTTCTTATTCTAGTTTTACAACTACTCTACTCTTCCACTCCCAGCTCATCACATTTGCTACAGCCGTATGTCTGACTCAACCTCAATTTCCCCGCCCTCCACGCTCTGCCCCCTGCCCCCTGCCCTCTTCCGTCTACCCTCTGTCCACTGCCCACTGCCTTACCTGTAGTGACCTCTCCGTGACCAATTTTTATGGGCCCATCCCCTCTTCCATCTCACGACTCTCTCAACTTAATTTCATGTGAGAACCTCTTTCCACCCCTCATAATTTGCTGGTACAATGTTGTAAGCAAGGTTCTGTTCTACCAGGTCTGATGGTAACATTTCGGACATATTATCCCCGTTTTGTGCTTTCATATGCCCCCCTTGCCTCGTTAAGAGAAGCAGCTGCATCCCTGGGATCCTGGCCAATCAACACAGTCATGCATGCCACATGCCATGTGCCACATGCCATATGCCACAACATGCCACACGTTACACGTGTCGCATACATGTCTCCTCTCAACCATGCCATTTGCCACATGGCATGGCTGGCACATGTCACGTGTCACATGGCAGGAACCTTGGATCAACCAATATTTCAGGACCCATTCCCTCCACCATCTCAGCACTCAATAGCCTCGAATCTCTGTAAGATTTTCTGCCTTGCAAGTGCGTTGGTTGCTTTGCATGGGTGCTTTGCATGGGTGCTTTGCATGGGTGCTTTGTATGGGTGCTTCGCATGGGTGTTTCGTATGGGTGCTGCCTTGCAAGTGCACTGCCATGCATCCATGCGGTCAACAGCACGAGCCTCAGTGATCTGCTATCTCGTGCATTTCCATTCACTCCATACCACATGCATTCTACCCTGGTCATTCTCACATAACACCACTCCACTCCCCATTCACTCCACTCCCCATTCATATCACCCATGTGCCTTTTGTGTCTCATCCATTGCCCCACCCTCTCCTCTCTCTATGATTCATATCGCCCATGGCATTTCAACAGGATTCTATCCAACACCAGCATTTCCGGATCCATCCCCTCCACCATCTCCGGCCTCTCATCCGTCATCTTTTTGTCAGCACCGTTCCTGCCAATACCGTTTTGTGTTGTGCCAAATCCTGCCTTTGGGTTCTTCTTGCCCCTGGACCGAATAAGAAATTGGCCTACTGGAGTGCTTGCCCCTAGTCTGAGGCGCATTTGGTGTGCTGCCACGCTGCGATAGTGATGCCTCTGCTGTTGCAAAGCGAACTTGAACAGTTGATTAGCTTAGCATAGAAAGCAGCGAACAAAACGGACAAGTATTGCAATGGTGAGTTGGCAGATTGGTGGAATTACGGAGCAATCTCAACCAAACCAGGTCAG